ATATAAGCAAAGCACAAGCGAAAGTAAAAAACTTTCATACTCACAGGCCGTGTCGATGACGCCGTCGCCAAGCCAGAACCGCCCATGCTTCTTGCCTTGCCCCGCCCTTATGACGGCCTCTCCATCGAATTCCTGGATGCTCGGATCGTGGTGGTTCCTGTCCAGATTAACAGCAGATGAATATTTGTTCTTTGGGGGAAGTAACACAGCTCATAAGCCATGTGTGTTTTCAGGATCAGCCTGGACATGAAATGCAGCACACATTTTACCAAAACGAATCCCAAACTGAACTAAACCACCAACAACTTTTTTTTACTAAAAATCAAATAGTGCAGGGTCATATAATACAGGATACAAAATGAATAATATTTGCATTGTTGTAGCTATCTAAAAGGCTTGCACATGAGATTATTTGATGTTTGACATGAGAACATAATATTTTACATGTGTAAAGCATTTGTCGGGTTCAAACTAGTGCAGATTGACATATTCAAACATTTATCGGGTTCAAGCAGCAAGCAAACACACAGGTCACGGGCACAATAGGAAGGCAGTCACTCACCTGTTGTTTAATGTCACCGGTTGCTTATTGTCCTCAAGTTGAGACATCTGAAACAACACAATTAGTGTTAAATATCATATGCAAAGGCACACAAAAAGATTTTAAAACCTACTGCAGACAATCTAATGTATAATTTAACTATCAGGTGAATTAAATGACAAGCTCAAGGAGGCAAGTTAATTTATAATTTAACTATCTAATGTAAAAACAAGTTAATTGTGGCACAGGCTGCTCTCTACTAATTTAAAACAGTGAAAACTAAACCGCCTACTTATCTCTGTTAACATTCTGATAAGCAATTGTCTTTCAGTACACTGTATTCTAAATAGCGGTAAAATCATTCTGAAACAAGCAATTGCCATTTAGTGCAGTGTATTCTAAATGCCAGGGGATCAACTGTAATCAATGTAACAAGGAAATCATGCCAGCAGCAGAACAAATGCTCAAGTAATTTCACATATAACGTAAATTGGCAAACTCAGTTCATTATAACTTAATTGCTCATGATAGAGTTATCCAATCATGGGCAATCAACAACAGTACTCGGATGGACCTGCTAGCGGATAAAAGAATCAAAGCGTTACTGATGGACCGCTAGCAATTGAAAGAATCAAAGCGTTACTCTGATATGGACCTGCTAATTTACTATGCCCATAACTCAAAAGATTAAATATAATACGCACTAATGCTAAAATGTTGAAGGGCAATAAACATTAAACAATGGAACTGCAGTTCTACACGTGAAGCAGGTAACCAATTCGATTTGGCAAATAAAACAAGTGAGGCAGAATCTAAGCACACGTTTATTGACCGTTCCCAAACATAATCCGCTCTATTCATTTGCACTCGCCCTCGCACAGGCTCAGCCCAGTCCTTGCCTTGCAGACTTGCAGGCAGCAGACAGCGGCCAGCGAGCAGCCCCTCCAAGCACCAGTCCCCTAAAGCCTGCAACCCTGCACGAAGTGCGTAACGCCCGCCGCTCGCGGCCACGTCCATGGTTCCGAGGGTCGCCATCTTTCAGATCAATGCCTCTTGGACAGATCATAGGCATTGTGCCTGGAGGGCCCTCTTTTCCTGCACAGCCAAATCAGCTGTAGTGTGTAGTTGTTGTGAGCAAATCTGTCATGTGCAGGGAAACACCCCGAGCATCATATCAAAGATTGCCTGTGGTATAGTGATGGTCCATAGAGCATAATATCAAAGAAATTATATAGATTGACAAAAAAAATTCATCTGGAAACTACTTTTACAATGTAAATGTTTGAATTCAAGATTATATATAAATATATGTTATAGATGTTGCTCTGACAATGAAGCCATAGCTCTACGTTTTAGAAACATGATCCTACCACGGCGAGGGAAAATATAGTAACTGGGATTTGGTGGCAAATCAACGATCTCTTGGATTTCCATTGGAGGGAGACAATACCCGTGACCTGTGTATAGACACATCACCTTAAAGCTAGAAAGCAATTCCACAGAATATGCCTTTGAATTAACATGCCTTCATCTGAATTTCATAACTCCCTTGGAAAGAAGTTGAGATGATAGGATTACGGATCCTACCGCGTAGATCACGGAGTCTGTAGGGGTGAGAGGGAGGTGGAGCAGGCTTGGGACCTCGCTGCCCGCCGCTGGGCGCCGTGGTGGAGGATGAACGTGAGGAGCAGGGAGGAGATGGCGGCTAGGGCAAATCTCCCGGCTCCCTAAGGAAGCCGGAAACAATTATATTGTTTCTGCTTGATTATCCAAATGTCTTACAAGTCATATATATAGCTCTCAAAAATAAGGGATATATCTAATAAATAGGCTAAATAATAAATAATATGGGCTGTTAGCCCTCTAATGCCGGCGCACAAGCTCAGCCACTAATGGGCCTCCTCCTGATATGTGACGCTGGTCATAACACGAGAGGATAGACAAAACAAAACTAACAAAACCGGTTCATCTTGAACAGATGAACCAGAAACACAACTTTGACAGATTTGCCTACGTCCGTTGCCAGCATCCCAGCAATATAACCTACTCAAAATCACTGACGGAAATTGATTGAACTGAATTTTACCCAAACGAGCAGGTAAGGTGACCTTGTCATCATTTGAATTGAATCAACAAAATTCCCCAAATCACCAGACAAAACCTCGCTAGTATTACAGTTCTTTCTCAGAAAAGGCATAATAATGATTAATTAAAGCTGGGTCTCTTTCCACAACAGGCACAAACTCACCTCTCGTCTTCCTCCAGAGCAGGGCTGGAGTGGGAACCAGTGGGTCACTCTGCCACGAGGCCGATGCGCCTGGCATGGCTCCGGCGAGTTGGAGGCTCATCTTCGCGATCCCGGCCAGCAGGCTGCTCGGCTCGGCGTCGGCCCCCCAGCCAGGAAGCTACTCGGCCTGGCGTCGGCCCCGGCCAGGAGGCCGCGCACCACCGGCGAGGATCTCGCCCGCCCTGGCCACGCCCCCGACCAGGAGGTCACCCGCACCGGCGTCGCCCCCGGCCAGGATCTCGTCCGCGCCATGGGGGGGCACGCGACGGCTATCAGCAATGCTGGTGGAGGGCGCTGTCCGCGATCATGACTTCGCCGTCTTCGCGGGTGCGGGCATGTAGCCGCTCGGGAAAGCCAGCTGGATCAAGGCAAGGGCGGCGCGGCGGCGGGGGCGCAGGGGCTGGCTGGCTGTCTGAGGCTTGGACTGCCCGGCCGGCCGAAATCACCTAAGTGCCCACCCGCGCCCTTTGCCGAGCGCCGGATCAGTGAGGCACTCGGCAATGAGGAGCTTTGCCGAGTGCCTCGATCCGGCTGTCGACAAATTTTTTTTTTAATGCCTTTGCCGAGTATCCTTGTAGAGGTACTCGACAAAGAGAAAATTTCTAAAAAAAAATAAAAAATCCTCTTTACCGAGCGTCTTATTTTTAACACTCGACAAAGACCCCATTTGCCGAGTGCCATGCTCCGGCACTCGTCAAAGTTTTTTTTTTTTTGCCTCCAAATTTTTTGTGCAGCCCTTTTAAAGGACCAGAACTCCTAATTAGAATTTGGGGATTTTTTGTGGCTTTTTGTTATTTTAGTAAACTTTACATACTTGAATTTTTTGAAAAATATAAATTTGAAAGTAACATTTAATAAGCGTTTTTAAATTTAATGATTCAAAAAAAATAAAACACAAAAAGTTGAGGACTATCGTAAAATTCGTGAACAAGATGTCCAAATTTCGGGTCCGCTTCGAGTAATACGGGCCCACACTACACTCAAAGAATATGACTATCATTTTTTGAATCATTAAATTTCATTATTCGCACTAATGCAGTGCTCAAATTTATATATTTTTGAAAAAGGGTAAAACAAAATAAAGTAACTAAATATAACAAAAAGCCACAAAAGATCTCTAAATTCTAACTAGGAGTTCCTAGTACCTTAAAAAGGCTGCACAAAAAATTTGGAGGCCAAAAAAAAACTTTGCCGAGTGCCGAGTGCTCTCGGCAAAGGGGGTTTTGAATTTTTTTTTAAAAAAAAATCCTCTTTGCCGAGTGCCTTCACAGGGGCACTCGGCAAAGACATTTCGAAAAAAAATTCTTTGCCGAGCGCCGTGTCAGGAACACTCGGCAAAGTATTTTCCAAAAAAAAATCTTTGCCGAGTGCCAGATCTGAGACACTCGGCAAAGAATTTTTTTTTTTTAAGAAAAAGCCTTCTTTGAGCAGCCACTCGGCAAAGAAAAACGTGGCCGAACACCGTTACGCCAGACAGCCTATGCCGAGTGCCGTACTTTTGCTGAAAGCCTAGCACTCGACGAAGAAGTCTTTTGCCGAGAGATTTTTTTTTACCGAGTGTCCGGCACTCTTACACTCGGCAAAGATCAAAGATCACGTTTGCAGTAGTGAGTAGCACGCGCGGAGGCCCAGAGGAGCAGCGAGGGGGGTCTCGGACTCGGTGGAGCTCGTGCTTGGTCTCGGCGGAGCAACGCGGGGGGTCTCGGCGGAGCACGCGCAGGTCCCGATGGACGTCGCGGCGGAGCACGCACGGGTCTCGACGGAAGCTCGCGGCGGAGATGAGCACCGGCGGAGCCACGGCGCGGAAGAGGCGGCGGAGTCGCGCGGGAGACGAGCGCCAGCGGAGGTGAATGAACGAGGCGGGCGGTGAGATGAACGCACACGTCTGCTAGCCAAGCCTGGCTTCCTAGAAACGATCCCTCTGACGTTTCTAGCAAGCCAGCCCAGAACCCTTCTTTTGGCTTTCCAGAGCCTGGCTTAGCAGTTACACTGGCGACCAAACACCGGGAGGCTACGTTATGGAAGCCTGGCCAGTCCCTAAGCGACCCAACCAAATACTATACACCGATAGTATTCTGCCATTGTGACGTAGGAATATAATCGGATCCATCAACGTCAGGCAATCCAATCCCCCGAATGCCGAATCCACAGTCCACAGCAGCTCTAGCCGCCATGCCATCCCCGTCGCCGCTCCGCGTGCTGTCCAGGCGCACCGTCACGCCGCCGCCCCGCCCGCGCCGCCGCATCCCGCTCACCACCTGGGACGTCTCCATGCTCTCCGCCGACTACATCCAGAAGGGCCTCCTCTACGCCCGGCCGCCATTCCCCACCACCCGTCTCCTCGACCACCTCGAGGCCGCGCTCGCCCAGGCGCTCGTCGCCTACTACCCCGTCGCCGGCCGCTTCGCCACGGACCAGCACCGCGACGCCGACGGCAACGTCGTCGGCTGCTCCGTCTCCATCGACTGCGACGGCCAGGGAGCCGACATCATCCACGCCGTCGCCGACGGCGTCTCCATCGCCGACGTCATCCCTCCCGACGCCGACGTCCCGCGCCTCGTGCGTTCTTTCTTCCCCCTCGATGGCGCCGTCAACCACGACGGCCACCACCTACCCCTCTTCGTCGTCCAGGTCACTGACCTCACCGACGGCGTCTTCCTCGCCTTCGTCTACAACCACGTGCTCTCCGATGGCACTGCCTTCTGGGACTTCCTCAACGCCTGGGCGGGCATCGCGCGCGGCAGCCTCTCTGTCTCCCCTCCGCCCTTGTTGGAGCGCTGGTCGCCCGACGGGCTGACGCCGCCGCCGCCGGTCGTGCTCCCGTACCCGGACCTCACGGGGCTCATCGAGAGGCTGTCCCCGCCTCCGCTGCGCGAGCGGATGCTGCACTTCTCGGCGGAGTCCCTGGAGGCGCTCAAGGATCGGGCGCGGCGGGAGCTCCTGGCGGCCGGTGACGCGACCGGCGCGGCCGCCGTGACCAAGTTCCAGGCGCTGTCCTCCCTGGTGTGGCGCTGCTTCACCCGCGCGCGGCGCATGGCGCCGGACCAGTCCACCGTATGCCGCGCCGCCATCAACAACCGCACGCGCCTTCGCCCGCAGCTGCCGGCCGAGTACTTCGGCAACACCATCTACGCCATCTCCACGGAGGCGGTGACCGCGGGGGATCTGCTGGCGCGCGGCCACGGATGGGCGACGGCGGCCGTGGGGCGCGCGGTGGCGGCGCACACGGACGCCGACATCCGGGCGCGCGTGGCGGCGTGGATGGCCAAGCCCATCGTGTACACGCTCAGGTACTTCGACCCCAACGGCGTCATGATGGGCAGCTCGCCGCGGTTCGACATGTACGGCTGCGACTTCGGCTGGGGCCCGCCGCTGGCGCCGCGCAGCGGCAGGGCCAACAAGTTCGACGGGAAGGTGTCGCTGTACCCGGGCCGGGAGGGCGGCGGCAGCATCGACGCCGAGGTGGTGCTGACGCCGGAGCACATGGCGCTGCTGGAGCAGGACGACGAGTTCTGGGCGGCCGTTTCGCCGGACAAACCTTGTCCGCCGGCGGTGGCGGTGGTGGCGGCGGTGGGGAAGAATTGACTGCCCATGGCCGATCAATGTCAGGCAGACAGCAAAAGGAGTCGATTTGCCTTTAAGAATCACTTGTTCTGTTCTTTCCAGTTTTGAGTTTGGTTAAGGATTAATCCTCTGATAAACGAATCGAAATAAATGAGAGGGTATTCTTTCCAGAGATGTGTTGTTTTCTTCTTGATGAGGAAATGAATGAAATGGATGTTCATGGGCACAGCAGAAAGATTTGCATAGCGCGGCAAGCTTGATGGTGCTTCTGAAGATTTTTGCATTCAGAGGGTCCTTTTCCTTCTTCTGATCTGAAGATGCTGCCCCTGGTGTTTGAAACTGAATGCAACCAACCAGATGTGTATGTAGTGTAGGTAAACCATGCAAAACCTGAATTGCATTGCATTGCGGTCAGAGATTAAGAATGCTAGCTTATCATCGGCGTCGTACAACCGTGGAATATCAATGGATGAGCCTGCCAAAGTCAATCAGTCCAGTGCTACTGCTACTCCTATCACTACCAACAGTGGGAGGGAGGAGGCAGGAGAGGAGATACCACTACCAACAACGGGACCTGGGAGGGAGCCAGGGAGGCGACAGGAGAGGAGGTGGACAGACACTGACAGTGACGGGTGATCTTCTGCTGAGTGCCTCATTGACAGGTATAGGATCATGGCTTGGAGCCACACACTCAGTCAGACACACTGACTAGGCACACCTGCTTGAAATCAAAGGAGAGCAAGCTAGATGGCCAAAATATGGAATGCCGCCTGTCCATTACCTCATCAATTCTGAAAGTAGCCCAGCAATGCACATGCTGGCCTTCAGACTAATTGTTTTAGGGGCTTTTACCTGTGTACCCTTAAAAAATATGCCACACTCCTACGTACCTCTCAAAAGTTGGTCGTCACCTACATGCCCTCGCTCGAACTTTTCTTTTCCCTCACGACATTCCGTCGGCATTTGCTCCTAACGGTGGGTAACGGCTCTGGAGAATGACTCAGTTGCCCTTGAGGTTGTATGGGCGTCTGAGCTTTTTCGTTTCCCTGTGTCATTGCCAGGCCGATTAATCCAATGCGTGTAACCGTGTACGTAGTATGTTGCAACTGCTCTATATAAACAAGATCGCCGATCTCAGCTGCTCTCCACGCACACACACTGCACGCACACCCGAGTACACTAACATACAGCTAGCTTATTGCGTTTGGTGCAATAGCCGGCCGGCCGCCGGCCCTCATGGCTCCGCCGCCGCCGCCGCTTTCGATAGACACTTTGTGCGGAGCTGCGGCAAGCGGCGAGGCGGCGGAGGAGCCTCTGAGCCCTACAGCACGCATGTTCCACGATTTCTACATCGTCGCTGTCCTCGGCCTCGGCAAGCCCATCGACTTGGAACCTGCCCGCGCCGGCGTCGGGGCCACCCTCGCGCGCCACCCCCGCTTCTGCAGCATCCGAGTATATACGTTTTTCTTCCTTTTTTTTTCTTTTGCAATATACAAGTTGGTGTTACTTTAGAATTAGAACTAATACTTGCATGCACGTTGGAGCATGCAGGTGATGGACGGGGCAGAGCCGCGGTGGGTCCGCACGACGGTGAACCTGGACGACCACATCATCGTCCCGGACCTGGACCGCGCCGCCATCACGGCCGACCCCGACAAGGCGCTGGAGGACTACGTGGCGTCGCTGTCGACGCTCCCCATGGACCAGTCGCGGCCGCTGTGGGAGGTCCACGTGCTGGACTTCCCGACCTCCGAGGCGGCGTGCGCCGTGGCGCTCCGCATCCACCACGCGCTCGGCGACGGCACGTCGCTGGTGTCGCTCCTCCTGGCGTGCACGCGGAGCGCTGCCGACCCCAGGGCCCTGCCGGCCATGCCATCCGCGCAGCCGCCGCCTCCTCCCAGTGCGCGGCGCAAGCAGGGCCGGCGCGTCTACGGCGCCCCGCCGCGGCCCGCGTGGTCGCCGCGTGGGTCCTGGCGTGCGCCGTGCTCGCGTGGAACACCGTGGTGGACGTGGCGCGCTTCGTCGCCATGGCGCTGCAGCTGGTGCGCGACCCGCCCACCGTGTTCGCGGGCGTCGAGTTCAGGCGCAAGCGGTTCGTCATGCGCACCCTCAGCCTCGACGACGTCAAGCTCGTCAAGCAGGCTCTCGGCTGTGTGAGTAGTCGTGGTAACACACCATGCATGCGCATTTTTATTCTTCTACCGTTCTACGTACTGCTAGCTGTATAGACACGACGTGCATGCATGCATGTTGTTTTGACATGATGTGTTTGTTTCCATGCCTGCCTGCCTGCCTGCCTGCCTATGCCTTGACATCGACGCACTGCACAGACGGTAAATGACGTGCTAGTGGGGGTGACGTCTGCTGCTCTGTCTCGGTATCACTTCCGGAAGCTAGGTGATGAGCAAGACACAAGCAGAAGCACATGCTTTAGATCGGTCCTTTTTGTCAAAGCCAAAGCCAATTGGCCTGGCACAGGAGAAACGAAAAAATTCAGACGTTATTCAAGCTCAAGGGCAACTGAGTCATTCTTCAGAGTCGTTACCCACCGTTAGGAGCAAATGCCAACGAAATGGCGTGAGGGAAAAGAAAAGTTCGAGCGAGGGCATGTAGGTGACGACCAATTTTTGAGGGGTACGCAGGAGTGTGACATCTTTTTAAGGGTATACAGGTAAAAGCCTCATTGTTTTAGCAGAGAGGATTGCCGGTATAAGATTTACACACTCAAAATAATTGTTTTTACTTAGCAAGTAACCTTTTTAAGCTCATAAAAATGAAGATGTGTTTGGCAAAAACTCTTCAGAAGTACTGTTTTTAATTTTAGCTTAAAGGGATGAAAAATAGTACAGATTCAATGAAAACTGAGATTTTCACAACGCTATTTATGTCAAGATCAATGCCTGGGGCTAAGAACTTTTATTCCAAAAAAAATAGTGGCTCTCAAATTCTCTGAAGAGCAGTGGGTTGGGTCGACAGTCGACACCACTGAAAGATCAATATCCGTCTCTAATTAACACTACTACAAGCAACAATAGCACAAGCAGTGAACTCTAAACCTTAAATTTGTCCTTTGGTTTGGGTATAATTAATTGGATGAAATGAGTTGGTCACCAAAGGCGCAATTGGTCCATCTCAAAGTCCAACCTGGATCCTTTGGATGTTCCCAGCAAACACAAATTATTTTCAGTACAATTTGATGGATAGGGTTGTACTGAGAAAAAATGTAACACCAAAACTTAAACTCCCTCTTTAGACTTAAGTTTTTCCTATGATTTCTGATTGCAAACTCCAACTGCTCACACTTATTTATTTGGAAATTCACTGACCGCACTAGACTCAACTATGTTGAGACTGAGACCCAATACTCATATTTCGATTGGAGCAACTGCTGGCCAAGAACTGTAATTAACTTCAGACTTACATCCCTCTTTTCCTTTTCGACAAAAAGAGAACACGCAAGCAGCTTTCTGAATTTTGGTCAGATTTCTTCGATGTTGTAAATTACAATTATGCAAAGAACATGTACATCAATTCTTTGCTTGACCAAGATCCCAATTTCACCACTGCACATTAACATACCAGAAGGTAAAATAAGCACAAAAGTTCTAAACTGTACAGTTTGGCTAAATTCCTTCTTCAGTTCAGTTCACCTTTTTACAGCAAGCAACCAAAAGCAAGCACACCTATGAGCAGCAGCGGTTCCTCCCCACATCTTTATCTCTGAAGTGTGAGGGGGTGGTGCAACAAGCAAGCTCCCAGCTCCAGTTCGAAGCTCACTCGCTCGCTTCAGCTTCAACCACTTCCGCTTCCGGGGGCGACATCTGTTGCGACTAAAACCAATTGACGTGCCATGCTACACCAGACCACAAAATTCAGAGCTAACCATCAACCTTCCTTGCTTTTTATACAATTTGGGGGTGGATACTCTCTAGACAGTTAGATTTATATATATGGCCATTCCAATCCTGTTTGCTCTCATCGCTGACGTCACAAACTCCCAGCCATATCGGTGGAGCTCTCTCCTGTCTTCTCATTCTGGTTCTTGTCTTCTTCATTGTCAAGGCAATCATCTTCCAGAGGCATGTGGATGCATATGCCATTGATTGGAAATGCTTCCTGGATTTCATTCATGACGACAATGACATTACTAACACACTAACACTATTTCTTTTTTTTTTTTATTTTTCATAAAGAACCAGGAGGGGTCCGCAGATTGTTTACCTGATTCGCAGTCTCCTGACCATTGGGATTAAAAAGAATGGGGCGACACCTCTTATCCTCATTCATCAAACTTGAATTTTGAAAATGTGATATCAGTGCAGACCGTCCTTGAATTCTAGCATAAGCCAGCGAGGCTACTTTCTCGCTGTTGAACTTCTCCCATTTCTTACCATTAAAAGCCTGCAGGTTATAGGTGTACGTCCGTAAATACATCTTTCAAGCTGTTCAGAGTAAGTATACTACTCCTATGCTGATTAACTCAGCTGGACAGGGAACAGGTTCTAAACTCTGCAAGTGACTATTGCAAACAGAGGACAAAGGTCAAGAAAGAGAAGTACCTGGTAAAAGGATATAATGTGCACCGGTGATATCATGTTAATGAATGCATATCCAACATTGCATTTGTTCTGCATAAGCACAATAATACAGCATAAGTAAATTAAATAGGTGTGGACTATAAAATACAGGCCCCAAAAATAAAAGAGCAGAACAAATTGGTGTTAAGTCTAGTACCTTGAAATCAATTGGCAGGTAGAAGAAGTCATAAGTTCCTTTGTGAAGCTCATCAATTGCAGCCAGGAGCATCTTAGATGTATATCTGTTAGATTCAGGGAAAAGAAAACCGAATGAACACAACTGACAACTGGCTAGCAAAAGGTTCAAATGAAAACATAATGTGGAAATGCATACTTGTTCGGGATGTTCTTAATCATCAATGTTGTCCGAGTATCATCACCTCTGCGAATCTTCTCCAAATCAAGCTGATACTGCCTCTTGCTATCAGCTTGCAACACACTGCTGTCAACTCGGCGGTTACGGGCACGGTCAATGGAGCTGTCAAGTCCGAATGTACCAGGCCCATGGTATGGAGGATTAGCGTAAAATACCTGCCCCAATCTCGGTGACAATATAGGTCTGAAGTTAGTAGAGCTGTTATCTGTTAGACTTCCAATTAGAGAAGAACCAGGATTCACAGAAGCACGACTAGCCATGCCCAGCATGAGGCCTCCCCCATTTCGGCCAGGACCAACACTACCCATGTTCCCAAACCTGACTTGCTTCATAAAAGATGTCTCTGGCGATTCAGGTAAGAAGCCAAAATGGCTCTCAAATGGAGCACCTGAAGGGGCAGAACCAACATGATGATGGTGCTGATCTGAAGAACCAAATAATGAAGCCTGACAGCTACTGTACAAGAATCCTTGGCCCTGAGTGCGACTGCTGGATGACAATGCAGGTCCAATTGCTGGTGGACGCCAAATATGGGATTTTGAATGTTCTGAATATGGCTTTGGACTGCCCCAGAGAAACTGGGGCCCTGATAAAATCCCAGGACTAGAACTCATGTGTTCACTGTTGTGATCTTGGTATGAGTGGGAGTGCTGAAATGCAGCTCCCAGGGATTGGTTACCATTTGAGAAGACTTGATCATATTTAGACCGATTGATATCCTTGCCGATAGGAGCAATCTTTGGAGCATTTGAAATCAATGAAGGCATTCCGATAGGACTCATTCCATTTCCAGTTGGAGATCTCGTGAAAGCTTGCAGCATATTGTTATCTGTTGGACTACTATAGTGAGCCTGAGCCCATGCCCCTGCCACAAGGATTAGAAAAAAAGAAATTTTTATATATACAGGGGATTGACTCCAAAATACATGGGGGCAGCATTATACAAAAACTAGTTCCAACAGAAGTACCTGGAGGAGAGTTAGCAACAGGTGAACCAACATGAGGATGTCTGTAGCTTCTGGGCTCCTCTTGGTCCAAATCATGACCAAGCTGCTGCATCAAACTATATCAGAAGAAAACAAGAAGAACACATCAGGTCAGTAAACTACATTAGAAAATTTCAATTATTTAAGTAATGAAGTACTTCACATGTAGGAAAATTAAGTGAAACAGCATGCTCCCAAAACTCGATTTCAGACATGTAGATAGAGTCACTCACATTGTATCATTCATGCACTAATGAAACATGCATTAAAATGACTCGGGAAGAGGAGTAAAGAAACGGACATCTTAAGTTGCAACTGAATTATTCAAAATGAACCCAGCTGTCAGCCAGCACTGCACTATACATCTATCTTGCAAGCTTATCAGAAGTAGTAACTTTATAAGCCTCTAGAGTATCATCATGACAATGTGGTATCCAGAACCACAGCAAAATGACAGCTCCAACAAAAAATATTATTCAGAAAATATTGATGAGAAACTGTAACATGCAAACAAGCAAATAGTCTCGAAAACTAACTCAAAATCATACTTTCTGCGTGTTCCACCAGGACGACTTGGTTCCAACTTGATCCGCTTTCCAGCTATCTCACTTTTATTCAGTGACCGAAGAGCAGCCTCTGCTGCTCTTACATCATAGAACTCTATAAACTTATGATGTTTCTTGTTTGGTGTCTCTCTTATCTGCAGATAGAAACCAAAGCACCGTCAGCACGAATAGGGAAGGAGGATCAAAAGCAGAATGAAGGGAAACAATACTTTGCACGCTAACCTCCTTTACTTCCCCATATGCCCCAAAAATCTGGCGAACCTCTTCATTAGAAACTGATGGATCCAAGTTAAAAATAACAAGAGTTCCCTGGTTTAAATCTTTGTCAGATGGATTCTCCTGCAAAATCAACACAACAATCATTCGAAGAAGTGCTTTTGTTGGTGTGTCTGAAAAACAAAAGCAAAACAACAAACGAACCTTTGGGATGGAAAAATGAATGTCCAGCTTTCTCCTCCTCAAAGGTTTGTTCTGCAAAGCTCGCATTGCATTCCGTGCAGCTCTGATATCGAAATAAGATATCATTACAAAGCCCCTGTGCTTTGTTGCAGTGTACAGGGTCCGGATATCCCCATATTGCTGAAATAACAATAGACCAGAATGAGGTTCAACTTTTCAGTAGCAGAGACATTGAACGTGAGAATGGCACGACCGTGAGCTTATATCATATAACATAATACATGAAGATGTTAAAATCATCAATGCTATGCATATATTTACAATCGCTGCAGTTAATACCTCAAACAAAGATCGCAGTTCAGAGTCCTCGACATTGCTATTGATGTTCCTTACAAACAAGGTCCTGGAAGGATGCTCTCCAAATGGATGCTCCCCAGCCACAGTTCCTACAGTGCTTGGGACACCAAAAGGGTTTATGCCATTGCCTCTAGCCCCGTCAACAATACTTGAATTTGCAAAACTAACTGTGATGCTCTCCACAGGGTCAATGTCCAGCTCCATGCCCCCTCCATTGCCAAAGACATCAAACTCCTCCAATTCCTCCGTGGTATTTGTCTGCCCAACGGGCTCAGCATCATCTGTGATCCCCGCGAAAAACTCATCTTCATCAGGCAACAAGTCATCTATCTGTCGAAGATCAAAATCAAACTTGTAGTCCTTCTCATCAGGATCATCAGCAAGCAATTTCATTTTGGCCGAAGTGTCATCCATTGATGGGGTACCATGAGCAGAATCAGAAAAGATCACTGAAAGAAATGGCAGGAGTTGTCATCAGGAACTCATCAAAATGGTAGATTTGTGAGGTTTCTGATGCATCGGATTTGAAGTCACAAAAAAAAAAGATGCATCGGATTTGAGATAAATTGACAGAAAAAAAAACAGGAGCATTACTACAGAAGGAATTAATCGCCCTATATCATCTTCTCCCTCTCACGCATTTAATTTGCATAACTAGCATTCCCTGGCATCCATTGGCCAATCACCATGAACAAATATACTCAATGGAAGTTGTCATGCAGAGGATGTAAGCATATGGCTAGAAACTTAGTATGGTTCAAGTGCATTATTATATTATGAAGATGGGAAGCAGAACACATACACTTTTCATGAGAAAGAACTGGCAGTGAGGTTGAGAAGAGGCTTGTATCGCCAAAACCAGCACGAGCATTGAGCAGCGGTGGCAGAGGGCCCCTCCAAGGGTTGTTATTTGCGGCCATCTGTCGTGACTTTGAGGCGGCAGGCACCGCAAGACCTGATACAATCTTACAAAGTTAAAGCAATTGCATTGAGAAATACACACGAAGAAGACATCAAGCAGGAAGGTGGAATGTGTGATAGTCGCGGAATATGACCTGGTGGATTAAAATGATCTGACGATCGATCCATTACAGTATTCGCATTGGCAGGAAGATACCTGCAGAAGCAAACAAAAAGGGTTGAGCATATCTCATCGTCTGTCATATACTCATTTGGGTTGGGTCATGCGCAGAAGAGTGAAGTTTATGGCAAAAACCGATTTTTTTTTTAGGGGCAGGGCCACGGAGTTGATTGTGCAACTGGTGGACACGGCAATCTGAGAACAATAAGGTGGGTAGTTGCAATCTGTTGATTAGAACGAAGTTTGATCTAAGGTGAAGGGGGGAAAAAAGGCTTTTTTATTATTATATTATTTTGTTTGGCACACGGGATAGTCAAACATGCAAGGTCTTGAAAGAAAGGAATTGGATAGACGCAAACGCAACAAAGTTTTACCCAGAAATAGCGATGAGGAAGACGGAAGCAATCCAATCCAATCCAATCGCATCTCCAATCTGTCAACCATGCAAGGTCCGGTGGGGTGCGATGAATCTAGACGCGACGCGGGCAGGCAGGCGTACGGAAGTGAAAGGATGAATGGAGTAGTGGCAAGGGAGTGAAGGATTACGAGCGGAGGGAGGGAGGGGGATTGGGAGTAGAACCGAGGAGGACGAACAGTGGTACAGGTAGGTGGAGTAGTCACTGAAACTGGCAAGGAAGGATTTGCGTCTGTTGTCCCTTGGGGGTTGAGGGAGAGAAGCGAAGTCCCCGAGGATTGGGAATCGGCAGCAATCTCTCTCGAGGCCATCATCGGTCACTGGGTCATCATCAGAAAGGAAAAAGAGAAGAGATGGAACCAAAGAGGGAGGGAAGACAACTCACCAGAGAAGAGCAGGCGGAGGCGGAACCCTAACACTGGAAGTGGGAGAAATCGAAATCTTTCCCTCTTGTCGGCGGCGGCGATAGCGGCGGACTGCGAGATGCGGCGGCGGCGGACGAGGGCGAGGAGAGGCGCGGCGGCGGGCCGAAATCAATCGCTCTTGCGGCCGATTGTGTCTCTCCTTTCCTTTCCTTCCTTCCACTAGTCGTCCCCTACTAGCTTTGTGCTAACACAAGGACTCCGACTAGGGAGTTTTATAAAGAAGAAGACGACCGACGAGACACAACCAACACAAGCAAGGAAAGGGGCCGAAATTTCTCTCGCCTCTCGCCCTGCTGCCTTGCCTGTGTGCCTGCTCTTCCTCTCCTCTCCTCTCCTCCTCTCCACGGCACCTCTGCTACGAGCAATTGCAGCAGTCCAGTTTCTAATAATCTAGTTTATTTATGGTCTATCTTATTTATATATATACCATATATATGTACATGATAATAATATGATGATGAGTATACAAGGGAGGGAGACGACAGATCAGATGAGGCCAAGAAATAAGATATTTAAAAATAAATAAATAAATATATATATATAGCAATATTATAAATCGATCGACTGATTATCCCTGAGTGAAACCACCAAAAAGGGAAGAGAAAAAGAATGAAAGCAAAGAAAGAAATCCATCGGAGTCTAGTGGTAGACAGCGACATCATTCCAACAGCTTATATTGATGATTGGTGTGGGCCTGGACCGGGAGCGGGAGGGGGCGCCCGCGTGTTCATCTCTTCTTCTCATTCTCACGTTCGCCTTCCGCCTCCTCCTGTGCTCAATGAGCATGACACGTGGGTCCCGCATCAGACGGAGCCTCACGTGTCAGTGGGGGTACGGGTGCCCGGCTCCGTCGGACGGACTTGGTGGACAAGTGGCGGGCCCATGCGCGCAGCCAAAGACAAGTGGGTCACACCTGTCAGTGACGTCATCTAATCTAATCTAATCTGTCCTACTACTCCTATCTGGATTGGAGTGGCGGCTGGCGTCCGCGCCTCGTTCCTCGACTCAGGGGAGTGCTGCCGCTGCCGGAGCGGTGGGGGATGCGAAGCCTGCTACCAATGCATATGCATTTCAAATTAAATAAATTAATGGATTTGATAGAGATAACATCTCCACTAAATATACCACTCCCTATGTTTTAAATTATAATAACTATATGTACTTACAAAAGTCAAAACAACTTATAATTTGGAACGGATCGAGTATCAGGTACGTATTGTTGTTGTTGTTTTTATTACAACTTCTCTAGAGAACAATATGGCCCAGGGGCTCCTGATTCTGAATAAAAAAACATTACGTGTTTCTCAAAAAGAAGCATTATGTCCTCCTTTAAAACGTTTTTTTTTTGTTTTCTCTGTTTTTCCTATACACTTTTTGTATGTTTTCTGTTAAATTTCTGTATTTTAGATGGGCTTTATTTATATTTTCTACATAATACGAGATATCTTGCCAACGGTAAATATTGTACTCCCTCATTCCAAATTATAGAGCATTTTGGTTTTGTACATACATATATTTTGCTATGCACTTAGATATACACTATGTCCACATATATAGTAAAAGCGAGAGCCAACCCATTTTTGTGCTGTCACGTGACTGCAATGATGTTTTGGTTTTCTTTTGCAAAGTAGTGTTTATAGGTGAAGATTTTTCATGGTTTAGGAAGTTTACATCAATGACTTTTGAACCCATATCCGCCCCTGGTAAAAGCAATATATTAGAAAAAACTAAAAAGTCTTATAATTTAGAATTGAGAGGGTGAAAGGATCTTTCTTTCATTTTTGTTGGTATATATATGAACAAAAAGAGATTAATAGGAGCTGTCCAAGAGCTCACTAGAACAACTCCCTGACTCTTTTTTTGCAACAACAAAAAAAAGAAACAGTCCTCCAACAGTTTTGTAGCTAAACTCCATAAAGATAAGCACTTGACAAATCTCCTCTTCAATTCACACGTATGCATATGTTTCGAGTTGCTATCCGTCCATGCGCAAGCTCTGCCACGATATTCGCGCACTTTTCCTCCTCTCCTGCCCATTTTTTCCTCCTACTCAGTTTTTAAGTTTTAGGAAGCTAATTGTTCAAAACAAATAGAGAAGTACTAAAATAGAGCTCGTTGTTTATTTTGTTCATCTAGCATAATCATTGGTTTACCAAGTAATTTTTAAGGAGTTTTTGGAGATGCTCTAAAATAACTTAAATATCATCTATTGAGAAAAACAGTATTATTCTATCCTCTTTTATACACGTGTCTCCAAAAAAAAACCTAGTTGCTTGATTTAGAACACACATATCATCTCCATTCTTACCCCCATACGGGGAGTTAAGGTCTTGTTTGTCTCCGGTAGCGATTGCTAATTTGAGCTTTCATAATCCCTTTAGAAATAAAGAACTACTTCCTCTGTTTTAAATTATAAGTCGCTTTGACTTTTTTTGGTTCATCCATTTTACCATGTATCTAGACATATTATTATATTTAGATGCATAGCAAAACGGATATATTAAAAAAGTCAAAGTGACTTATAATTTAGAACGGATGGAGTAACTTTCATCTCAGATTCCATAATTAGGTTGTTTACATTCTACAATCCAACAACCTACTAACCATTGGTTTTTTTTGCACTATGGCATACAAACTTACCTACGATGCCATTATAGACATAATGTGTTGCTTATTTTTTTTCCCTCCCACCAAGCTCATCTTTGTTCGTCGTGTCTTTGCAACTGTCTTTGGCAGAGTTAGAGCAAATCCGACGAGTGCGTCTGTCTTATGGGTGCAAGAATTTATGACCCATGAAAACTCAAACCACATGTAATTATGTTTTAAAATGGAGGAATTACTATAATGATACATAAATTGTAATTACTCGTATTAAGCAATGCAAGCACAATAAAAAAACTGATTTGATTTAGTAGCCATTGCATGACGATTACATATAGATCTATCCCAGGAAAGAGGAAGCCAATATTAATTTCTGATGTGACTTGTTGCACTTGGCCTGTTTAGTTCCACTCCAAAATGCCAAAATTTTCAAGATTTTCCGTCACATCGAATCTTTGGACGCATGCATAAAGCATTAAATATAAATAAAAAATAAAACTAATTACACAGTTTAGACGAAATCCATGAGACGGATCTTTTAAGCCTAATTAGACTATGATTAGACATTATTTGCCAAATAACAACGAAAAATGTTACAGTAGCATTTCGCCAAAAAATTGGGCATCCAAACGGTGCCTTGTACCTAGTTCATTTCTACATCTGACTGTCTAGCAAGATAGATTGCTTAACTAATTGACTAACTCACTATTTTTTTTCTCGCTATCCAATCCAAGCACTCCCTGATACGTCACAACACTGACTTGCATTGGGTTGCTCGAACCGTGCCAACTCTGATCACTCGGAGCGTGTTTAGTTCTCACCCTAAATTCTCAAAAAAGTGCTACAGTAGTCATCTCATCGAATCTTGCGATAAATGTATGGAATATTAAATGTAGACGAAAAAAAACTAATTGCACAGTTTGGTTGAAAATTGCGAGACGAACGTTTTGAGCCTAATTAGTCCATGATTGAACAATAATTGTCAAATAAAAACGAAAGTGGTACAGTAGCCCAAATTCTAAACTTTCCCAAACTAAACACGGCGTCATATCGTATCTTGCTGTGCAAGCATCTATAAATCACATCGCACTGTGTGCATACTACTGCTAGCATATATACTGTATGTACAACTCTCTTCTTAGTTATGACTCAATAGGGCTTATAAATTACTCCTGTGTTTTGAATGCCAAACAGGAGGAAGCTAAATACGGGGTAACATAATAGCTAATGAGAACAATTGGTGGTTAGAGCCCATTAACTCTTATTAGCTTATTATTATGATTAACCTATGTTTAACCCATTATCACTGTTCGTCCTAACTACTAGTGATCAGAGTTGGCAAGCAACCAAATGCAAGTTAGCTCATTATGATTAACCTATGTAAGTTTAACCCTTCCGTATTCTTCTTCCTCCTGGAAAATGGATTTGGAAACATTGCTAGGTCTCTCTCCCTCTCCTAACATTTGCCGGCGCTGCTGAGCCCTTGTTTAGTTGCTACCCAATTTCCAAAAAGTTGCTACAGTACCTGTCACATCGAATGTTTACGGTCCATGCATGGAGCATTAAATGTAGACGAAAAGAAAAACTAATTGCACAGTTTGGTGGGAAATTACGAGACGAACGTTTTAAGCCTAATTAGTCAATGTTTGGACACTATTTGCCAAATAAAAACGAAGGTGCTACAGTAGACCCAAAATCCAAATTTCGCGAACTAAACAAGGGCTGAATGATTCTCAAAGTCACCTCATCAAACAGTAACACCGGATGATATGTTAACAGACCAGCGGTCTGTCTGCGTCACAGTTCCAGACTTCCAATATATCTTAGCATTCGCTACATGACGATTTCTATCCATCGATGCGACAATTTGCTCGCCTCACAAATCTGTCCCTACTACTTTATTTATTTATATATTAGTATTATATCGGTCCAGTCAAGTTTATTTATATGTGCTATATATATTTATATAGTTTGCTTAGTAGTATGACCTAATCGTACAGTACAGGACAGGGTTGCCAATCAGCAATCCAATCAGAAGATAAATCCCCCAACAACCAACACATGTCCCACACCACTAGCGTACCACAATCAGCCGCCTGTCTCTGCCTGCTAAAAGCTTCAGAAACCGACAGCCGAGACACGGTTGTTTTCCGTCAGTCCAAACCAGTCAGTCAACAATATTTTTCTCTCAAAAAAACCAGCATCAGTCAACCTAAACCAGCACCAGCACCAATCAGCGAACAGGCCCACTGAAGCAAAGCTCTAGAAACCAACAGCCATGCATTTGTGATTTGACTGCCTGCCCCCATTAATCAAGCTGCTAAATATCACGGCCTTGTTTAGATTGCAAGTTTTTTAACCTAAATTTTTTCATCCAAAATGGTTTAAAATCTGACATCCAAAGGGGTGAAAAACTTTTCATAGCACTGTTTGTCCTGTCAAAGCATTAATGGACTAAAAGACACCAGTGGCACTATTAAATGTATTTGGAGGGATGCTTGCTGCCAGGCTCATCCTTGCATGCGCATGCATGCAAATCCATGCATGCTGCATGATGCCTGCTCTTCCTTGCATGCTCTCGCATGCAAATCCATACATGCAGCCACAAAGGCCTCCATTGTCCTAGGCACAATGCAGTAGGAGAAACCCAAAATTATTACAACATTCAAATATTATTACAGTCCGAAAATCATTTTACAGTCCGAAAATATTACAATGCATGTATCCAAATATTACAGTCCTCAAGCAACATTATTACAAGTCCAAGCCGCAATAAAACAATTACAACTCACAAGTTCTCAAACATACACATGTATCAATATCTATTAAACAGCCTGTTCGCAATGCTGTCACGAGAGGCATTCATCTGTTCACGATCTACGCTATCAGGGGCTGGCTCTGTTTCTGGCTGATCAAGATAGGCTTCAGCCGGCACAAAGTTAACATGATGATCTAGGTGCTGGAAGTCCACATCAAATTGCCTACTCAACCTTATGAAGTTATGCAAAGCAACACAAGCAACTATAATCTGCGTTTGTGTTTGAGGAGGATAGGCAGGGATACTCAACAATATGCGTCACTTCATCTTCAAGACGCCAAAGGCCCTTTCAATCACATTCCTAAGAGATGAGTGTGCATAATTGAATATCTCCTGTTTACCTCGAGGTTCTCCGGCGTTTTGAAAGTCTTGAATATGGTACTTGTTCCCTTGTAAGGAGCAAGGTACCGGGACGGTTTGGGTAGCAAGCATCCACCAAGTAAAACATCCCTACACCACCAAGTACCGTAATTGTTAAATGTTTCAATTAGAAATGTCAAATGTACTACCACCTAGTTGTCTACCTTTGGTGGATGAGGGAAGTCATCCTTGAATGTTGTCATGGCATCCTCAAACACTCTTGTGTCATGGGCGCACCCGCCATCCCCATAAGAGAAAAGTAAAAATCATGTCAAAGTCGCAAGCGTACCATCACATTCTCGAGTTGTGATGCCCTTGCGACACAAGTGTCGCACAAACTTATCTTGTGGCACCAAAAGCAGGAAGTGGTCGCCATCTATAGTTCCTATGCACCTCTTGAATTCGAGGATAGAACCGTCGGTTCCTCACCCTAGGATGCATTGTACTAAATTCAGGTCCATGTGTTTAATGATATCATTTCCAAGTGCAACAACACAGGCATCACTCTATAGAACATGTTGTGGATCTGTGGCTAGTGACCTCTCAAATCTATCATCACTTGCCTATATGATTGTGGAGCACCAACCATCCAAAGGAACATACCTAAAGCCTCAGTTGAGGTGGACTTTTTGTGTCTTTGAGGTCATACTCATCAGTCAATACCTTGTGCGATCTATAGAACATATCTGGGGTGATTCTAAACATGTTGTAACAGCAGTTTCATTTGCTAGTTTATGTTCTACCTAGTCCAAATTGATCATCTTTGGCACCCTATAGTATGCCCTATTGTAGTACTTTTGCATGTGCATGGCATCTTGGGACATACCATATCTGATTGCAGTTTCTTCTTCGATGTCATCAAAGAATAAGCTGAAGAAGTCCTCCTCCCACTGTTCATCATCATCGTCATCGTCATCCTCATCAACGACCGAAGCAGCAGGTTGAGCAGCCCCCTACACACATGAAACAAACAAATGAACACAAATCAGTTCTAATTCCCAGGGAACAACATACACAGGGCAGCAGTACCTCAAATCCAACAGCACTAACTCCAAAAACAAACAGTATGGCTAAATTCAGACATCACAAATCACTTAGTTGCTGCCGACAAGTTCGACAACACAACATACAAATGACAGACGTAGTTCAACTAACATGCATCACAGACTTAGTACACGAGGTTCATGACACAAACACATGACAAATGCATTATTAAGAGGGTCTAGTTAACGACCCCGGCATAGTGCTTAATGATGGCCATCCTTCCTTTTGCTTCTGACTTGATAAACATTCTCATAGCAGCTTCGTTTTGGGTGATCATGAGTGAAAGCTCTAGTTTGGTTTTGGTGAATTGATGAAACCCTAAGTGCTAACCTAGTTTATCAAGTGATTATGAGATAGGTAGCACACTCCAAGTGGTGAAGCAAATGAAGATCATAGCATGATAAAGATGATGGCATGGTGATGATCAAGTGCTTCGACTTGGAAAGAAGAAAGAGAAAAACAAAAAGCTCAAGGCAAAGGTATAATTTGTAAGAGCTATTTTGTTTTAGTGATCAAGACACTTAGAGAGTATGATCACATTTAGGATTGATAGCTGTACTATTAAGAGGGGTGAAACTCGTATCGAAATGCGGTTATCAAAGTGCCACTAGATGCTCTAACTCATTGCATATGCATTTAGGATCTAGTGGAGTGCTAACACCCTTGATAATATTTGTGTAAATATGCTACCACATGTGCACAAGGTGTTTGTAGGGTTGAGATGGATTCGGCGCTTTCGGAAAATGAAATGTCTATTTTCTATTGCGCCAGATGCAAAATTCTTGGTGGTTGGCACACTTGAGCAAGGGTGAAGAAGTAAGAGTTGAAATGGAGTTGATCGAAATGATGCTGGCGTCGGTCCAGTGACCGGACGCTGAATCCAGAAGCACCGGACGCTGACTGCCTGCGTCCGGTCGAGCTGTCAGACGGCACAGTGGCTAAGGTTGAGCACCGGACGCTGGTCTGTGTCCGGTCAAGGTGGACCGGACGCGTCCGGTCGAAAAATCATGCCTCAAGGAGCTTACTGGAAACGACCGGACGCTGGGGCTTCAGAGTCCGGTCAGTTTTACTGGAGCGTCCGGTCAGCTTCGCAGCCGTTGAAATCTGACGAACAACGTTTGAAGCTGGTGACGCGTGGCGTCCATCGGGCGACCGGACGCTGAGGGCCAGCGTCCGGTCAGAGCGCGTTTTGCCCAGTGAAGGGGTATAACGGCTCTATTTGATTGGGGCTCTATTTATAGCCCCATGGCCGGCTCAAGGGAGTGCTCTTGCACATTTTCATTGACATAGCAACCTTGTGAGCCTAGCCAAAGTTCTCCCACTCATTTCCATCATAGATTAAACATCTTTGTGAGATTGGGAGAGAATCCAAGTGCATTGCTTGAGTGGTTGCATCTAGAGGCACTTGGTGATTGTGTTTCGCTGCGGATTTCGCTTGTTACTCTTGGTGGTTGCTGCCACCTAGACGGCTTGGAGCAGCAAGGATCGTTGAGTGGAGGAGGTGATTGTCTCCGACTCCGATCGTGGTGATTGTGAGGGGTTCTTGACCTTTCCCCGGCGGAGCGCCAAAAGGTATTCTAGTAAATTGCTTGTGGCTTGTGTGATCCTCATCTTGTGTTGGTTGTGCGGCACCCTATTGAGGGTTTGGCGAGTGATGCCAATCAGCGCGTGAACCTCCAAGTGAGTGAATCGCCACAACGAGGACTAGCTTGCCGGCAAGCAAGTGAACCTCGGTAAAAATCATTGTGTTCATCATTTGATTCCGAGGTGATTGGTCTACATTGGTATTCATTATTGTGATTGATTGGTTCCTACCACTACACGGCGGTATAACCATCTTGATCACTCTCTTTACTTTACCGCAAACTAGTTGACAAGCTCTTTAGTGTAGCTAGTTATGAGAGCTTGCATGCTTGGTTGGTGTGGCTCTTTAGTTAGCCTTTGAGAGCACACTAACATAGGGTAGTGTCATTGCTCTTGTGTGAATTGACACTATCGAAACTAGAATTGTGGTAGGTGGCTTGCATTTTTGAGTAGACTAGCGCAACACTCGCTTCGCCTCATAATTGTCTAACCATTTGGTTAAGTGTTGTTGTAGAAATTTTATTAGGCTATTCACCCCCCCTCTAGCCATTAGGACCTTTCAATGAGGACACCAATCCACTGCCTCTCATTTTCCTCTGTTGCCCCTGCCTCTTTAGCCAGCTGTATCTGTAACAGAACCGACCAATTATACGAAATTAAGTAAGAAAATCATCCACCAGAGCAGACGATTGAGCAAACTTAAGCCCGTATAACCCGGTAGTCCATGAAATCACGAAGGATTTCAAACCAACTCGTGTCCCAGCCATGATCGTAATAAGTTTAGCGGTCACCAATCACATATTACATAAAAGTTTTATACGAGATACATCGAGTTTAAACATAGTTATTACAAAACAAGTTCGAATAAAAGTAGCGGAAGTCATTTGTTTAAAACCACACACACTCACACGGAGTTCAAATATAGTGCCAGCTGATGATCATCTCCAACAAAAGCATTAGACGAGACGTAAGGAATGACCATGCCCATGGTCCTAAGCATCACCCATCGCAGGATACAGCGGTTGATACAAAGAGCTATAGTACATCGCCCATACGCAACAAGTGGGAATAAAACCACGAGTACGAGAATGTACTCAAACCGGATTTTACCCGACATAACCGGAAATAAATGACACCAAGGATTATGAAGGGCTTTATAGTAGGGTAGCTGACTCATTTGCAAAAAGAAGCATTTTTAGCATTTCAAGAACCTTTCTAAAAGCATTATTGTCAAGTTAATTATTATTAACCTGTCAACTAGATCTGCACCTATACTAGAGTAAACATGTGATTAAGCAGATAATGATAATCAATGATCATTAAGCAACTTCCATACTGTCATATTCATTATAACTGTCCAAGTGTTTCATAACATTTACTACGATGAAGTAACTCAAGTCAAGTGCTCACTATCTAGGAGCGATGGCGATTCGAATCGATTCCTAACCAGCTGGTGATTTGTTCCTTACACAAACCTCACTCACCCGCTAAAGTGAGATATTGATCACCGAGTCAACTTTCCAGGAATCTCGAGTTTGCAGAACCACATATACCCGGGGCCGACCGACCGCGCACTTTGGCCTTATCATCATCCCGCCCGTGTCCTACCACACCTGCTTGACAAGGCGGCGTCATGGGCAATCCACTCGCCCGAAAAATCTCCCAGCTTCAGCGGTCGGAAGATACTTTATCCGGCCGCCTAAATGTAAGGCATGCGTTCAACATGACTCGAGGCCCAACAACGGTCGGTCCTTAATCGAATACAGATGGAAACACTACACGGTCCAAAACTCGCAAGTCTCCGTCCGGTCTCAACTTCATTTAACACTTAGTTATACCATGACTTCATAGTCATCCAAGCAGAGATCAAGTAACCACCTATAGCTCGCGGTGACAGAAATCACCCGACTTCTACCGGTCTAAGCCCGGCTAAGCATTGACGATCATTGCGGATACCCAGGTAACAAGGATATAGTATAACAAAGGTAAACAAGGTATAATGCAAAGAACGGTTGCAAACAACTCCTGAACGTAATGCATCAATTAAAGTAAAGCATTTAAATTAAATCATTGCAAACCGGAGAAAAATGCTCGGGCTTGCTCTCTCGAAGGAGCTCAAGGCGGTGATCGGGCACTCAGGAAGTTCCTCAACGTCCTCCCCTTGGCTTCCTAAGGCACTTCTCTGCTGGCTGCACCTCGAAGCGCTCCTCGGACTCCTCGGGAATGACGATTTGGGTTCTCGGTTTGCGATGATCCTGTATGATGCAACGCAGCGTAAGTGATTATGCAAGCGGTGCATCGAAGGAGATGGATGCAATGGATATGTTTAAATGCAAGGTAGTCAACATCATCCAAGAAACTATACTACAAGCACATGTCATCTAACTGCATTCTCTTCTATTACTAATATGTTAAGTTAACCTATCTTATGAAATGCTTCAAGGATACACCAAAGCTTTACTAATTTCTTAATCACACTTAAAGCGACACTCGCTTAAACCCTAATTAATAATAGGTTTGAATAGCAACATATATTTTTGATGCTCCTAAAAATCTGAGAAAATTATAGTAGCATAATACTATCCTAAACAGACTACCATAAAAAATTTCATAGCATTTGGATAAGTAAACTATCCTACACAAAAATGACAAGCTATAGCATAAAAATGAGCATGAAATTACTTTGTACTACGAAAAGTGTCAAACAACAGAATTAATATTTTTCCTAGGTTCTTCATAGCATATAATCACTGTACAAAAATTATCAGATGCATGTTTTATACAAAGTTTGCTCTCTAGCAAAAAATACAAAAAAATCAGACATTAAAGGCACTTGAACTACACCTCCAAAGTTTTCCACAAAGACACATGCATGAAACATATTTTTCCTAGGAATTACATGACCTAAGAAGATTAACAAACTTGAAATCATATTTTTTCTGAAACCTATAGATTTTTCTACACATTTTTCAATTTATCAGCAATATACATGATTAAATAAAAGCCTATAGAAAAGTATCCCAAAAATGACATGCAATAATTTTTCCAAGTGGATCTGATGATAAGGAACCTAGCAAAATTTGTTTCAACAAATTTGGAGCAAATTTGAGTACTCAAACATTTTCCAAAGTCTTTAACAAAAATCTGAAAAATCCTTTTTCTAATAAACGAAAATCAGTTGGAACCTAAACTGCTATGCGCACCCAGATCTGCACCCAAGACTGCTACTGGGAGACAGACAAGCGGGTCCCAGCAGGTCAACCGGCCCCACTGGTCAGCCAACCGGAGACAGGGGAGGTCGGTTGACCGGCCACCGCTCGACGACGGCGAAGAGTCCGGCGAAGGGGGTGGCACCAGCGTGCACAGAAGGTTGTCCCGCGCCGATGGAAGTAGAAAATGGACCCCTAGCTCTGGGGCGGAGGAGGTCGCTTGGCGACAATGGCGATCACGGCGGCGGCCACATGAGGGCACGCCTACCAACTCCGGCCATGGCGGTTCGATCGAGCTTGGCGTGAGCATCAAGGTTACTCAGGGGAAACCGAGGGAAGGGAGAGGAAGGAGGAGAGGGCTCGGTGGTGGTTGTCCACGGCGAGCACAACTCCGACGCCGACGGAAATGGTGCTCATTGCGGAGAAGAAGAAAAGCAGTGCCTACCTTGACTCTCCCGCTCAGAGGCGAGATGGACGAGCTCCA